AGTCAATTTTCATCGATCGAAAAAAAGTTTTTTCCAACAAATTTTTTGATACCCCATTGAAGATATTGACTTTCTGAGTTCAATTGAAAAAAGATATTTCATCTCCAATGAAGTTTTGTAAAATTCTGGGGATTTGAAAATTGTCAAAGTTGCCATGCTCTGTACTAAGTTATGCGCCCTTTGAAGAGTTTATTCATAATGCTGAGATCGTTGTGGAAAATAATTATGCATGGCGAACTATCCCGCACAACAAAATCGTTCCAAACAGAATTGAGGCTAGCTAATTGGTCTTACTAATTTCGTACGACTCAAAATTTTACACGTTGATATTTTCCAAAATATATAGGTTTTTAGTATTTTCTTTTCCCAAAAAAACTATTCGATATAAATTAAGGGAAAGTCAGAACAATCAGGAAAGTCACAACAGTCAGAGTTTTATGATCTAGAAATTTTTTTGAGGTTACAAATTCGACTTTCTAAGCGCACACAGAGCAGGCTAAAACAAAGAAGACCAAAATTTTTCAGCAAAAAATTTAATCAACCACAGATTTTTCGTGATTTTTATTGAAAAAACGTCTACATTTTTGACTGATTTCCCAATCGAATGCTTCTGGGACTATTCAAGTTTTCATTTATTATTAACTGGTTCTAATGACTCCTTGACCAATTCTATTATCCCGTTAGACAATTTTCACCTGATGAAATTTCAGTTTGGTAATGGAGTAACGGGCTCCCTTAGAAAAATAATAGACACCTTTAGAAAAATGCAGTGTCGCGAAAAGTACGAGAGGTGTTTTCTTTTTTCCTCCTCGAGGCTTTCAGTCCTTGAGCACTCTGAACTTCCCTTTTTTCGTAAAACTTCACTGCATTCATTTTGATGCCAACATCTACTGATTTTGCTTAGGGATCGTGCTCAAAATTCAAAACTTTTCAGTCCAAACCAAAAAAGTCAAGTGAGCGACAGCATAAAAGAAGTGAAATCGATTTTTCCTCAACCCGACTGCTCCACTAAAACATAGTTGGGAGTGAGAGGAAATTTTTTGGAGAACTCAAAAAATTACAAAAAACTAATTTTAAAAATTACAATATTTTTTTTGAAAATCAACCCCTCTCCCGTCCGCGTCTCTTGTTCTTCATGATTTTTCGACCACTTGGAATATCGAAAATTTATTCATTTCAATAAAGCAGTTACAATATGAGCTGTTTTCTGTTTGTGGCAATATGAGCTGTTTTTGTTTTTAAGAAATGGATTGTTTATTATTTTCACAATTATTTGCCTTTCAATTGGTTAAAGATTTATGTAGTTTCATTTGTCCAAATTTTCATTTTTTACTTGGCCGGACTAATTGTTAGAGTTGTATAAACGTAAGAAAATTTTTTCGGGTGCAAAATTACTCGCGCTAAAAATAAGATCAACGGAGCAAGTAAATCACTTGAAAGTTCCGCTCATTTTTTCGACTTTCGGAGAAAAGACGGAATATTTATGGTTGGTAAAGTTTTTTTCAGGCAATTTTCGACTTCCCATTTAACCAATTTCGACAAGTTTTTATACCTGAAAGTTTAACTGAAAGTTAATGTAGCCCTAAGCTTAAATTTAGGGCAATAAATTGCATTTTTTTAACATGCGTTAGCGGGTTATTATTGCGTTCCAAAAGGAATTGAGGAAAGCCATCTTCGCATTATTCGGACATCAGACGCTCAAAACATCCTTTTTTGTTTGCATTAGCGTGTGGTTAATAAATTGAAGTAAAACGTTTTGTTGTTTTCTTTCCGATTATGTCGTAAATTTTTCAACCAAAAATTTTTTGAATCGACCTTAAAATGCAGTCCGAACATTCAGGGCTTCACCTTGATATACGAGCACTTTTGATGTGACTACAACAGTTTGAAGCACTTAAATAACATGCTTTTGGGTCACCAATTGTCACCAGCGATCGTGAGATCAAATGGGATGGATGTAACCTATAAGAATTAGTCACCATGTTTTCATTATCGCCAATACTTAAACTAATTACCAAAGCCGTGCACTTAGTATATTTTAAGAGAAAACTCTTTTCCAATTGTCACCAGCTACCGTGAGATCAAATAGGATGTTTTTTGTAGTGACATATCAGCAGTTCCGCAAATTGGATTGCAAAGGGAAAAAAATTTAGCCAACCCATAGGTGGAAAAATGCTAATGAGCATCAGAAGACAAAAAGACGATACCGACTTTGAAAGCGTTTATTTCAGTTTTTTTTGAAAGTCTGAGATCAACTGTTGAAACTGAAAATTATTCAATTTTTTTTCTTTAGTTGCTGATTTGTCAGCGAAAAGCGTGATTTGCCATCAATTTAGCAATTGAATACAGAGTAAACTCAAAACACTGAAACTTAAGGATAGTTCAAGATATACGTGTGAAAACCCTTCGCACTCCATAAATTTAAAAATTAATCAAAATCAAACTAAACATTTTTAAGACTCCTATCTGCAAAAAAAAACAAAGATCCAAGTTAAGCAAAAAATCTGCAGACACTAGATTTAGCCTTTTAAAGGAGATGGCAATAACTATATTACATTAGAAAACTATAGTTTCGTAGAACAGCACAAACGTTTGTTAGTGTTATGAAACAAATCTATTTTGAAACAGAGGCGAAGTGGAGCCTTGCAAGCTAGCCAACAAAAATAAAACGAAAACCTTCAAGTCAAAATGTGATAGCCTACCAAATAAAATCACAAAAAATTTTTTAGTGCTTTTATTTGATTTTAGCTTGCCGCAAAAAAATAACGATTCAGATGCGGTAAACAAGTTCGGCAACAAAATCTCCGGAGTTTATTAATAGCCGAAATAAAAAAAAAGAAAAATGGTTGAGAAACACAATCAACAGGGTTAAATAGGATTTTGAGTCTAGCGGGCAGCCATTATGCTAACAATTTGTAGAAAGACCGCTTTGATTAAAAAAAATGTTTAAAAAATTTGATCAAATTTTAAGACTTCGAACTTTCACACCACAACTGACATGAATTAATTTTTAAATACATGATCAATTTTTTCAGCAAACGCCTAATTGGCGTCTAACCTGATAAACCATTGACTTGGCCAATTAAACAATCCAAATCAATTTAGATCAAATAAGGTCAAAAACAATGAAAATTTGTCAGGGAAATTTTGTCAAATAAGGAAAATTTCTAAGGCCAAAAAACAATGAAAAAAGCCAGGGCTTCCAGGTTTATATATTACGAGTCCATCAACACTTGCAAGCTACAATTAAAATTACTTCCAGTACAAAAAAAATGTGATATGGCAAGTAAGCCAAAAAAAAATAAGCAGGCACACACAAGTCCAACAATGCAATTTTTCACGCAAAAAAAAATCACTTTCATTCATACTGAAAAAAAAACCAAGTCCGGCTGCGACTCCAACCGGAGACTTTAAATTGCCAAGGCAACAGTGTTATCTCTAGACTATATGGGAAGGAGCCCAGAAATTGTTTTCATTCAATATTAAAGCTATCTCAAATTCTTACAGACTAGTAGAAGTTGTTACAGGGAAAACTAACTCTCGATTACAAGACCCTTGCTCTCACCAGTGTAATAACTTCTTGTAAATTGTGATGTTGAAACTTTCCAGCCTGAAAGCAGCATTCGTGACCTCTAATATAGTTTCTGATTTAAGAGATACAATTTAACTATTTAAACGGTATACAAATCCAACAGCAGACAAAAATTATGATTATTTGAGAAAACAAAGGCTGAGAATTTGAATGCAAAATTTAAGGGTCAAAAACTTCAAAGACAACTGTCAGTTTCAGGTTGCCCGTGGGTGCGCATCAATGTTTAGTGGCTATAAACGGCTCTAATTTTATATGATTGGCGAACCCTCTGTTGGCAAGCTCGAAGACGTTGGCACGACTGCGGCAGTCACTATTTTTGTGTTTACGCTGTTTGATTGTATGCTGTTTGAACAATGGAGAATTGGCGTTATTTGGAGTTGTACCGCTATACTGTTAAAATTGTGTTCTTGTAAAAATAAGACCCGAAATTTCACTTATTGTTCCGACTTTCGATACGAAAGTAACGGAATATTTATGCTCGGGGTGGGTTTTTTTTTCTTCAGACAAATTTCGACTTTCTAACTAGCCGTTTTTGGCGCAATTTTTTTTATATCATTCGAAAACTGTTGTGAGCTTGAATTTGAAAAGACATTTCACCTGTGATCATTTTTCGTAAAATTATTGGGGTTTAAAGATTGCCATTTTGGTACAATTAACGCGCGATAAATTTCGCGCTATTAACGCGTAAGCGAGATTTAATCCGTCTTAGAAATCGTTCCAAATTGGTTCAAGGAAGCTTATATGCCATAATTGATTTGTTAATAGGCGCAAAATCTATCACTTTGTACTTAATATGACGTGTGGGGGGATGTTTTTTGTTTTTACATAAAATCTCAATTTTTTTTTAAAAATTTTTAAATTTTTTTTATTACTTTGAAATTTTTCATCTTATTAATGCTCCATAGACCTTAAAAGGCAGTCGGAACTTGCAGGGCTTCGCCCTGATACGAGCAGTCTTGTTCCTGTATAGCTACAAAAACGGTTCGGTCAATTTTCTATTTTTCGAAAACAATGTATACTTCATAATATAAAATTAAAATAATTCATAAAATTAAGCTAAATTGGTATTTAATTCAATGATCGGGTTCAATTGGTAATATATGATCAAATAGATTTAGAAAGAGCGATTCTGTCTTTCTCTTGTGCTTATATTTGTAACACAACTTAAAAGGTGCACCACACTTAGCCGAAACTCGGATAGCCGAAAAAATCACGCTTTTGCCAAAAAATAGGAACAACTGAATCGCCCGTACAATGAATTCTCCTTTTGCCGAATGTAAACGCAGCTTAGCGAGCGTTTTTGACTTGCAAATGCAGTTTTTGATTGATTCTTGGTTGTTTCTATACTAGTTTAGGTTAAATACTAGCAGCTTTCGACGGTGCTAGTACTTGGCTTTGTGAAACGCCACAAATAATAGATCAAGCTCAAAAACACTCATAGATACAGAAACATGGGGGAGCTGACTACAATTATAATATTCTCGTACAGCTCAGAAAAGACATAATTAAGTCAGCTATCAATAGTTGGTCATTCAGCTGAATTCTACACATCAAATTGCGGGTCTTCCATTATTTTAGACCAAACTTGAGGTTTTGTTTTCCCTGAGTCAACCTTTTTTGTATAAAAAATGAGCCAACTATTGTATCGCATAGCCTAAAAAATTGTATCGCGTAGTCTAAAATGAAAGTTTTTTTGTTCATCTGCCACAACAACCGCGCTTCTGGTTGTCGTCTTGAGCTTCGTTTGCCGAGGTGATGTTGATACCTCTGTTCGGTTTCGTAGATCCCGAATTGGCTTGCGACGCATCTAACATCGCTGAAACACCAAACTGTTACTGCTACAAAAAGGACCTGTAGAAACGCACAATTTCACATCAATTAAAAAAAACTGACAATTGGAAAAGATCAATGAAAGCTAGAAAATTGAGTTTTTTCATTAAAAAAAACATCAATTTTCGGATTTTAAACCAAAATTGAATGAACTTCAAGCACTCTGAATTTCATGAAAAATTTATGATAGACACTTTTTTGATAAATTTAATTCAATTTGAGAAAACTGGATCAATCGGAAAAGCTTTTATTCCGCTCGAAAATCTGAAAACTAAAATCTACTTTCGATCACGTTTTCTGTGACCTTTACATTTTCGCTGTTCGATAGTGGAAATTGCTAAATAGCAAAAGATGGGAGTAACTTTCCAATGCTATGCAGCAAATAGCACCAACTAGAAACAAAACAAGACTGCTCGTATCAGGGCGAAGCTCTGAATGTTCCGACTGCCTTTTAAGGTTTATGGATCAGTAATAACATCAAAAAATTCAATGAAAAAAAAACAAAATGAAAAAAAAAATTTCTAAAATTTAAAATTCTTTGTGAAAATCATCCCCCCACACGCCATATAAAGTACAAAAGGATAGATTTTGCTCCTTGTAACAAACCAATAATGGCAAATAAGTTTCTTTTAACCAATTTGCAACGTTTTCTAAGACGGATTAACTCTCCGCTTACGCGTTAATAGCGCGAAATATATCGCCCGTTAATTGTCCCAAATTGGCCAAAATGGCAATCTTTAAACCCCCGTAACTTTACGAAAAATGATCACAGGTAAAATATCTTTTCAAATTTGAGCTCAGAACAACAATACCTTTCGAATGATAAAAAAAAATTCGTCAAAAATGGCTAGTTAAAAAGTCGAAATTTGTCTGAAGAAAAAAAAAACCCACCCCGAGCACAAATATTCCGTTACTTTCGTATCGAAAGTCGGAACAACTAGAGCTAGGAGCTCATTGACCCTCCCTCCTGTATATTAAGAGTATCACATCCTGCCATCTGTGCCACGAATTACCTAACCAATGTAAATACTGCAAGCTGGGTTGTATGTTTACCGCGGCATTCGGCAGGATAACACAAGGGTTGATTTTTTTGATTTTTATTCGACGATTAAAATCCGACTTAAGTCATTGATTTAAATCAAGTTGATTTTAATCATGCAACCCTGGCCACGATTTCTTGACAATAAATTAAACCTAGCAGAAAACATGCTATGAAATTTCCGATCAACGAGATCCTAATTCTAGCAAAAGTCCCACCAAATGAGCTTTTTCATTTGCGAGTTAGGCTGGAAAAAGTAGGGTCACACTTTCACTCGCTCTTTAGCTCACATGTGTAAAAAAAATTGTCGAGGCAAAAAGACGACAGCTTAGTTTGAGCTGTTTCAAAAAAAAAGTTCACACATAGGCGAAGCTCCAACTCTGCATGACATTCTGCAGCAAATAGTAATCTTAAATATAGCCGATATAGCTGGATCAACAGCTGTGTAACTAACGCATTAACTCTAAATTGTAAAACTGTGCAGCTTGCTTTCAAAAAGTCGACTGATTCCAAAACACAACGCTCAGCACCTCGCTTGTGCGAACGAAAACAGCTTAAAACAAATTTTAAACAACCTATTCTTTTTCGTTCACTTTACACTTCAATAGATCTGTCAAGTCCTGTCATTCTTGAGCCACACGCAACTTGGATAGATGATGATACGTTCAAAAACTGCCCATCAATCTTTACTTCACCAAGTACATAGTGTTCATGTTATTATAAACTGCTCACTTCCATGGTTTATTTTCTTTTACAACGCCAACTTCAGCAGCAGTATCAACAAGCTATTTGCGTGTTTAGTGAACTTGGCCTATTCTTAGAGCCTACAGAAACTATAGTTGAGTTCAAAAAAAGCTGCCATTCCGGCTTTCAATCCAGATTTCTGCTCAAGATTAGTTTCTCAATTCGAAGACCAACTGGCTACAAATCCGAGAATTAGGACTGGCGATTGAAGCTGGTTATTGAAATTCTATACGCTACAACAACCGAGAAGGAACAGCTCAATTCATATCTTGATTATTTCGAAATAACTTGGGTCGGTAAACACATGCGTAATTCTCGAAAAATAACCAGGTTTTACACCAGCTTTATAGAACCAGTGTTACAATGCGTAAATGAAAACTGAAATATGAACAAATTGGTCAAATGACGGCATAGATATTTCGAATTTTAATGGGTTACGCTCATCCCTCAGTATCAAAACTCATTAAGCAGATAAGAAGGAACAAAAACTACTGCCTCGGTTGGAATACGCAGAAAAGCGTTATAAATGTTGATTAAAAACAACAAAGATTTCAGAAAAAAACAACAAAAAAGACATCTAATTACGCAGCTGGAAGCTTTTTCATTGCACTTCAACCATTAAAATTCCTTAAATCGAATAATCTTTGACGCCTCATATCCTACACGTTGAGTGAAATAAGCGGAAAATTGAAGTCTGCCACCGTCGCCGATGTTCAGGTTTTGAACAAGACAGTTAGACAACTGCATTTTTCCGAAGCCACTGTGTTTTCCGAATTTGGGTAATCCAGATGACTGGAGAATTGTGGTGTACTCTAATGCCTCACTTAATAATCATGCAGATGGTGGGACACAAGGATGTTATGTCGTTTTTCTTGTTAATTGTGTCACAAACCGCTCTGCACTTATTTCTTGGCGCTCGCAGAAGCTCAAACGGATAGTACGAAGCACCCTCAGTGCCGAATGTATGACCTGGATTGAAGGAATTGTCACTGTGTTTCTCCTACAACAGATATTGAACGAAATCCTGTCTCAGAGAGTGCCAATTTTGGCTCTAACTGACAGCTACACGCTTGTCTCCTCAGTTTATTCAGCAAAAACGGTCAACGACAAGCGTCTGCGTGTAGATATGGCTTATCTGCGTGGCTTCATGGAAGAAAAATGTGTTGAGCGACTAGTGTGGGTGAGTGGGAAGGATCAATTGGCAGACGGACTCACAAAAGCATCAAGAACAAACCGAGCAAAGCTCGTCGACGCGATTACAACTGAAATGATAAAAACCCCGTATATTGAAACTGTTTCTGATTTGATTAATTATTGACCAATCAGGTGCTACTTGACCGATACTCACAGAGCGGGGTAAGATTGTTAATATTGTCTCGTGTATGTGATGTGATGTAATAACTATTTCAGGTGGGGTTGAATATATCTTGTATCTTACGTTGCGTTCTTCATTGAAATTCAACTTTGCAATTTAACCTATGCAATAGGGTAATTCGATAATGCCTGAAAAAAAAGTAAGCATTTCGTTTACTTTGCAAATAAAATGGTTTATTAGAAATAATTCGAAAAATGGAAAGGGCATCGTGCCAGCTTACATAAAACAGAGATACATTTGTTGGAATTATAAATTTTAGAAGAAATCGTAACATAGAAGCCTTTCATTTTCGAAAAATACTGCTGATCAATCTTTACTGGAACAAACACGATGATACAAACGATCAAAAAACACTCTACCAGCCAAAATCGTTTCAAATCATAACAGGCACCAATTAACATAACTTGAAAAGATAGCTCAGAAAAAAATCCACAACTTCAACGAAAACTCTCACTAATCCAGCGGTTATCAGCCCAACAAGATTATCTACAGATTTTGTAGTCAATTATTACTGATTTTACTGCACTAGATTTGTTTGCTTTCTATGAGATTTGGTCGATTTCTGTCAGATTATTCAATGCTCATATTTGATGGGCTGATACTAGTTTTTAACTATTTTTCGGTCCTTTATAATAAGAGCTTATCCCAGATGGAATCATAAACAATTTGGCACTTTCTTGGAATATCTAAAACTTTTAAACATTGTACACAAAGGCGAAGCTAAGCTTAGCAACATTTGCAAAATGAATGACTATCAAAAACAACGTCAAACATAATGAAAATTTGAATTATTTCAAAAAACTAAAATGAAAAACAAAACACAAGACGAGCAGCAATTCTTCGTCATTGATTTTGCAAAATCAAGATTCAAAGGCGAAAAACATTACGAACAAGGTCTTTTAAATTCTGTAATTAGATGGATACTTTTCTGCTTCTGCTTGCTTTCTTTTCTTGCTTTTTGAAAACTATGCTAAATTATCATTCGTACAGTAGCTTGAACCAGTAGTTAGTTGAATTTATAAGCGAATCAAATGAAATATCAAAGAGATAAAAGATAAACAAAATACGTAAATTTTCCTGAGATTTACTAAAATTTGTTCGAATGAATAACCTCAATCAATTGCCTGTGTATTTTAAACTAATTTAAGCAGTTGTATATCATAAAAAGTTTTAACAAATCGAATAAAGTTTACGCAAAATCTCAAAATTAGAAACCAAAATCAAGGCTGCTGAAATAGACATAGCCAGAAAAAAAAACGGTTACTAAGCAAGAAGTACAGAATGTTCCAAAGAAGTTTTTTTTTACTTTCCTTCAAATAAGTGTCGTTCGTTTTTAGTGGGTGGTGTGATTCGAGAACTATAGGATCACGTAAAAAATAGTGAATTAGGCATGATCAACATTTGTCTGCAAAAAAAAGATTTAGCATTTACCAATTGTTGATAGTATTATTACCCAGTAGTTAAAATTAAACTAGCGTGCAACGCACCTCCAGTGCTTTGAACTATTAAAAAACCATAAAAACCGCATAAATTGGAAATAAGATCTACATCCTTTGAGTTTAATATGACAGCACCCAATTAACGGGTTCGTTATTTCAAATTTTTAAAGGTTTTTATTCAAATTTTTTTAAATTCAAACTTTGGAAAACCATATATTTTTGAGAAATTTTTCATATCTAAGTGTTTTAAAAATTTAAAAAATGAATGGGAAACGTCACATCTTGCAAACTAAATGCAATTGAGCAGTCGCATTTAGACGGAAGCGGTGCAACTCCTGCGAGTACTCTTACAGTACCCAACTACAGCGTTAGAATGTCAAACTTTGAAAAAATTCAAACTTAAGTTTTCTGAAACATTTTTGAAAAAATCACAAAAAGCGTCATATCTGGAAAACTACAAAAATTTAAGCACTTATTTTTGGGGAGAAAGATTTGCAACCTCTGAGAGTACTCTGACAGCCCCCAGCTACAGGGTTGAGAATTTTAAATTTCGAAAAAAAAAAACGTAAGTTTTCTGAAAATTTTATGAAAAAATCACAAAAAATGTCATATCTCGAAAACTACAAGGATTTGAACAGACATATTCAGAGGCAAAATTCGCAACTATTGAAAGTACCTTTACAGAGCCTCACTTTAGAGATGGGAACTTCAAATTTTCTGAAATTTTTTATATCTAATTTCTTTGAACAATTTTAAAAAAGACATAACAAACGTAACCTCTTGGAAACTAAGAGCACGTGAGCAGTCGCACTTGGACGCAAAATTTGCAATTTGGAATTCTTGGGAGTATTCAACTACAAAGGTTGGGAATTTTAATTCTTTTGATTTTTTAAAATCTAAGTTTTATGAAACATTAAAAATAATTATAAAATACGTCATATTTCGAAAAGTACAAGGATTTGAGCAGTCATATTTGGAGGCAAGATAGGTAATTATTGTGAGTAGTCTGACAGCACCCTGCTACAGGGTTAGAAATTTCAAGTTTTTGCAAATTATTTCGTAATTTGATCTTTCTGAAAAAATGACAACAACCGTCGTATCTCAGACACTCGAAATAATTGGGCATTCATAATTAGAAGCCGAATTCGCAACCCCTGGGAGAACCCTGACAGCATCCCACTATTGGACTGCATATTTTAAATTCGGTGGAAAAAAATTCTTGGCCATTGCAAAAAACGATAAAGCTTAAACGTGAAAAAACTCTTTCGTTAAATATGCAACAATAATACAATGAAAAAGCTTATACGTGACGAGATAGTGAAGCCCGCATTTAAATATATAATAGATTTAAGAAATTGAGCATGTTAGCAAAACAGATGAGTTTATAGAAATTATTAACCTGAAACAAGTCAATATTCCCATTTGACAACGCTTGCATAATGGCGTTATAAAGCGTGATAATTGAGTTTTTTAAATCATTAAAATAGGTTTGTAGCTACATCAAATATTTTTCCGGAGAGGAATAGCAAATTTTGACGTTAATCGAAATAATTTGTGCATTATTAAATAATAAAAGATCTATTTCACTGACATTTCGTGAGGTCGAGAAACATCTGGTCGATTCCCTTGTTAAGTTTAGCAGAGGTGTAGTGGTGCGCTGCTGACACTGTCTCCGCATACTCCAGAGCAGAATCCTCGCTCACACATTTCTCCTTCTCCAGGTCAATCTTATTGCCTGAAACGACGATAGACAATCAACTCAATACATTCCTTCCATTAGACTAAAATTAAAATAACTGCAAACTGATTCTAGGAGTAGTGTAAATCGTCGCAGATCATAGGGGGTACCCGGATGACCCGTGTATTAAGATAAGGAATCGCTTTTCAGTCTTCTGGTTCATTTATAGGGATTCGGGTTCTCCGCCCCCCCCCCCCCCCCCCCACGATCTGTCCGGCATGAGTGTTATGTTTTTATTGAAGTTTTACACATTGTTGCAAGCACTAAAATGACGCAAATCAAGTGCAGGGTGACTCTGCAAGTACTGTCCGATCTTGACCAATACGAAACATTAACTATTAAGAAAATTACCTGCAATAACCAGAACCACATCTTTTCCCAGCACTTTTCTCAGCTCTTTAACCCACAATTGAACCTGCAATATATAACTCTAACACCTTCATCTTAATCAACTCTGTAATTAAAAATAGATTTGACTTACCCTATCAAAAGAATCCATGTCAGTCACATCGTAGACCAAAACAGCACCATGACTTTCCCTGCAACAAAGGCAATCGATTAATCAACTAGAAACCTTCGTAACTCCTAATAAAATAGTTTTTTCTAATCATTTCAAACACTGTTCGATTTGTATCACATTATGTCCGATAGGAAATTGCTCGTTAAAGGCGAAAAATTCTTTTACTCTCATTGCCTTAACATTCCTATTATTTCAAGGTAGCTCAATGAATTAACGATTGACAGACATTTATCAGATTATACAATTGTGCAGCCAATTTTCGTTTTTAAGGCGATTTAATTGTACTCACCGATAATACATAGGCGCTAAAGCATGATATCTCTCTTGCCCAGCCGTGTCCCAAATCTCTAGCAAAACTCGCTGGTTATTAATATTGAGTCTTTTGCTGCAGAAAGAACTTTGAACTGTGGATTCATGATTTTCATTAAATTTATTACTACTATATCGCAAAACTAAAGATGATTTTCCAACACATCCTTCTCCAAGGAGAACGACTTTGAATTTTTGCTGCTGTCTCGATTGATTATTGGCACTTGTCATCTGACATCTATAAAATTATTAAATGCGGTGTTTCAGTTCAGTTTCCGTTCCGTATCCAACAATACTTATATGCTAGGCGGAGCGAAACTCCCCGGATCAACAAAAACTTGCCCAGAAAATCTAAAAGCCACCGACTACATTGCCACGTTGTGTGAGTTTGGCAATTCATTGGTCCTTATACAACTTATTTGAAGAATAAGAAACACTTTAATTACTATACAGAACAGTCGAAGCATTAGAATAGTAACCGTGTAAAAATAAAATTAGTCCCAAATTTAGATTCGTTACTCACTTTTGAATAAAATGAGATGGAATTATTACATCAGTAAAATCATCAATTTAGGAATGAAAATGTCAAGGCGAAAAAACTTGTACACTCGTTAAAATTGTAAGCAAGGTAAATGTGCCATTCTGCTAGATGGCACAGCGCAACCTTCCGGGGACATGAAAAAGAAAGAATAAAGGCCTTATTAACAAAAAAGTATTGCAAAGGAGGGTCAGAATATTCTGGAATATTTATTTTTAAAAATTCGATTTTCAAGTTGATATTTCTCAGAAATACGAAAAACGGCCATTTTGACCCAAAAAAGTGACGAAAATTAGAAGCCTCTTATCGTGGCAACAACGCACGATAAGACACTCAGCGGATACTAGTGGAGAAGGAAGCTTCAGTGGGGAAGGAGTATTCCACGGAACCCTCCCGGGACGCAAATTAGGAGAGATAAGAGCGTTATCGCAGGAATATTACGGGAGCGGAGGCTTGGTCCCCCAGAGACTGTTTATGTGAAGGGACTGTATGAAACTGACTATATAGCTACTTGGGAGTCGTGAAACTTTAATTTAACACCGGTGTAACTTGATATTTTAGAATATGAGTAGCTAGAAAGAGGAAAGGGTCAATCCATCTCCAATGGATTTAATGTAGAACTGTCACACAAAAACATATTAAAATAGGTTGTTCGAGCCGTGTTTTTAATGACAATCACGAAGTCTGAGGATCCGAGACTCAGCTATGTGGTTGTGTTCGCATGTAAACGAAAGCTGATCAAAAGTCGTTTGACTGATGGCCTAAAAATGGTAACTTTTTACTTTGCCCTAGACAGACCAGAAAATCAACTGGCAAGGTGGAGACGGTGAAAAGCGAGTAGAATTAAGGTAACTGACGCCTGCCAGTCGTTAATAGGTACTTTTCCTACGCTCCGTCGCTGTGTAGTATTTGGGCGAATGTTACATAGACGTTTTTATGGCGCTCCTGGGTGGGCCATAAAAACGTCTATGTAACATTCGCCCAAATACTACACAGCGACGGAGCGTAGGAAAAGTACCTATTAACGACTGGCAGGCGTCAGTTACCTTAATCGAGTTTTTATGGCGCTCCTGGGTGGGCGATATGGGACGCAGTCCATAATGAAGGTGGGATTGAACCAACCCATCATGCTTGAGGTCTTGGAGAAAATAGTGAACTCCATGGAGTCGGATGTTCTGACCGAGTCAGTTACAGAAGACAGTGCCGATGATCAGCAAATCGCAAAAAAATTACCTGTCAGACGAGCCAGGAAGGGGCTGAAGCGACTAAAAGGGAAAACAGGAAGTCGAGCCATGAACCCGAGAGTGGTGAAGTCGAGAGCCAGCGCAGTGGTGACCTCTTTAACGAGCGCAGGTCGTTCAGGCGAGAGCGGGCAAGGAGATGTTGCAACACTGACAGGGGGAGAAAAAGAGAATCTGATACCCCCTATGCTCTTGGCTGGTCTGACCACGACTGCCGTAAGATCAAAGAAAACAGCACGAACCCTGGCAGACACTAAATTAGAGATGGAGATCATCAGTCAATGTGGATCTGGAGGACTTGAAGATTACAGGCCCTCGCGGACCAACATAGCCAAGTTGAAGCTGGAAGGACAACTCGACGTGGTCGAGTACAGTCGAGTTACGGTGCCAGAATCAGTCCACATGGGAGATCCAGCAGGAGGTTATGTGGAAATGTTGAAAGCGAGAAACTCCGCGAGAGGGCACCTGATGGCTTGGAGCGAGAAGCGAGCCATGCAGGAACATCTGAAAGAGCTCACGGAAAATTCGAACTTAAATCGAAAAGAATACGGCACGGTAATGTCCTCTGAAGCGAACGAAGTCGGATTGGAAAAATTGCTGGAAATCTCCTGGAGGGCGGCCCTCCAGAGATACTTCGACGAGGCGATGCATGCACCTGCTACAGTGGCGGCATACCTGGCTCATCCTTGCGTGAAAACTGATCTGCAAGTACGGTTGGCTTGGTGCCTGATGGGCATCAAGAAGGCGGAGTATGAAGCCAGTAATGATTCGAAATCACGGGAACAGGAGCTGGAGTTGATGGAAGCTCTGCGAGCGTTGATTTCAAAAGACGATTATGCGATAGCATGGGCTAAGCGTAAGGATGCCCTTTGCTTTGTCAGGTTCGTGGTGGATCGTATCCCCACTCCTGTTTTGGGAGAATGTATAAAGATCATTCGGCAAAAGGGAGTTGATTGCGAAAGGAACTTCCTAAGGGCACTCCTTGAACTGTATCAGGACATGCCGTTGACTGTACCAAACAAGGAGTCGAATGACATGGAGAGCTATCGCAAGTTGGAAGAAGTGAGAAGATATTCCAACAAAGAATTGAAAGTGAGCCGGGAGTTGATTGAAGCAGTCAAAGGACAAAAAGAGTTTGCAACACTAGGGAAACTGAAGTCGTTCCAATATGTGTCTGGTATACCGGGGACGGCGTATAATCCCTTCGTGAATGAAGAAGCCAGGGAAGCGTACTTCGACTATGAGCAAGTCATAGTACTCAATTTCTGGGTTGAACGTATTAAAGAAACTGGGATGCTGATGGTGGAACAACCCAAGCTGGGAATTATCTTGGAAGAACGAGTGGTCGAACCCTCGGTTCCCGAGCTAAGGGGGCAAGTGAGTTTTGATTGTGGTTCTTGGGACGGTCCCTTGAAAACCAGTCTAGTGACGATGTGGGAACTCATGAAGCCTTCTTGGTGTCCTCATCCTAACGCCGGTTTAATCTGGGACATGACGGCGGATATCACGTTAGACCTAGATGATGACGCGAGTTTGCATGATCTGGCTATGATACATCATCTGCTGGCCATGAGGCTGACGAAGCGGAAGAGCAACCCATCCACGGAGCTGTCCGAGGAAGGTCCATCGAGCAATTGGTTGAAGCAAGGCATATGCTTGGCTCAACATAGTGGGATGGAAGGACATATTTGTAACCTGGGACACTGCCTAGTTACGCTGAGCGAGCAGCATCGGCAACTGGCACGATTGTACGGAAGATTGAGCATGTCGGATAAGAGTGGTATGGAGTTGGTCGCGGACTGTCATGGGGTGACGGATGTAAATTTGGTCACAGCCTTGGGATTTTGTAGCATGACGAGTTCGATTGAATCGCTTGAGCGCCTGGAGCGTGCCCATGAGCTAGTGACGTCCCTCAGCGTGGAAGTATTCCCTGGAGCATTGCAAACGGAGCAGAAGATCGGAGGCTGGAGAGAAGCTCTGGAGAACGAGATGAATCTGAAAGATAGTGAGGCCTATCATAAACCGACTGGTTCAAAATATCTGGTGGGTTCAAACTCCGCACCATATTGCAGTAGTAGATATTCTACACACATGGTGGTGATGGATGCAAGGACACAGCAGGTGTTGATTGACCAACTTTTCTCTGTGCCAAAGTGCGTGAGGTTGGCCAGAATGTCGGAGAGGTCACATGATTTATTGGCAAAGATCTTTCGGGCAGTCCCGAAGAGATCTGAAGGCGAGTTGCAGGACGTAGTGGGTGAAGAGTTTCCGAGATTAAACGAAGGTAATGTGAGTGAGTTCCAGAAGCAGAAAGCGAGTGGAGCGTTCCCCACTGAATTCCTCACCATAGAAGAGAAAGACGACTTACACATAATTCTGATGGAGGTGGAACCGTTGCTGGGAGCCTCAGGGTATCGGACCCGAAGGAACATAGTGAGAACCCATGGGGAGTATCCTTGCCACTGCTTGGCGCAGACGTTGTGGTACCCCAAACGCGGGAATCTGATGCTAGTATGGGACGTGGAGGAGTTGTACTCCACGGGGTTGCCCGATCAGAATCAACAGGTGTCAATCGTGGTGGTTAGTGCCATGCTGGCAGTGAGATGGCTGGAGGCTAACGCGGACACAAGTGAACAGGAGACGGCCGTGCCGACTCCTGAACAGCTGAGCAACGTGAAGATGAGTCATGAATTGGATCTTTTCAGAACCACCTGCAAGGTTCTGAGAATACCTAAAGCCATTGAAAGAATATGGTCAAGGCAAAGATTGATGCCTTGGTTCCGTGCAGTGATGACATCATGGATGTATGAACGCGCGAAGCGTCACATGTCGAGGAACACGGAAGCCTATCAATCTTTCCAGCTAGATATAGGACCAGGAGCCTATAAGAGAGCATTCCTGACGCACAGAAACGCGGTCACCACGGCGGTGAAGCGAGTAGCTGGAGCGCCTTGTGTAACTGAAGATGAGAAGAAAGAGGTCTTAAGAGCTGACCTAGAACGAAACGTGAGCCTGTGTCTTCACAACAGCTTTTGCAGGAACCGGGAGCAAAAGGTTAATGTTGACTTGCTACCTTGTTGCAAACCGAGGCTGTTGGAACAGGAGAGTTGGGGCACGGCCCGCAACTCCATGGACATGCTGGAGAAAGTATTGGAAGACAGCGAAGCTGAAGATCAAGATGGAGAAGTGATGGAATGAAGATGAACGAAGAAGAGAAGAGAAGGAGAGAAAACTTGATTGTCTTTGTGTGCTAAAACTTAAACCAATCAACCAAGTATTGATTATTGAACTTGTGAAACTTTTTGTTTTGATTTAGCTTGGTCAAACCAAACTTTGACAATTGTTAAACTGTTGAAAAAGAAATTTTAGTTATGATTATTTATGTATGTATATATAGAACATAGGTGAGTATATTTACCTATTTAAACACGATTGAAGTTTTTAACCTGTGTAAGACCCAATT